CCAGGGTCCTGGGATCGAGCCCCACATCGGGCTCTCTGCTCAGCAGGGAACCTGCTTCCCTTCCTCTCTCTGCCTGTCTCTCTGCCTGCTTGTGATCTCTGTCTGTCAAATAAATAAAATCTTTTAAAGAAATAAATAAAAAGAAAAAAGAATATATGTATAGAATGCTGTGGGAACACAGTGATTAATGGTCTGAGAAGATGCATCAGTGATATGTCAGAGAAAACATGATTTTACCTGTAGCCAAGGTAGGCAGGAGAGAGCATTCTAGGTAGATAAAGCAGTTTTTGCAAAGGCATAAAGTCAGGATAAGACAGAGTGTATAAAGGTAATATAATTTGGTACAATGAGAATTTGGTGCATATGGGGTAGTGAGCAAGACAGAAATATGGAAATGTAGGTCAGATTTTAATTGTCTAAGATCTTGGTGTCCTACTGATGTGATTACTGTATGATAGGTACTTGGGAATCAGTGAATGCTTTTAAAGCAGGGGAATCAGTTAAATGTGTTTCCCTTGAGCAAAACATTTGGGGGGCTCATGGGCTCATTTGAAAAGGTAAGAATGGTAGCAGGGAGATCAGATTGGAGGGTATTATATTAGCTTAGGCAAAGTGGGGGGTTAAGAATGGAGATTTTGGGGATTCATGCAAAGATGTTTAAGATGCATTGTGGTCAAGGCTTCACAAACAAGGATATTGAAGAGGCAAGGATAGCCTAACGATGGCTTGGGGAGGTAAAATCTCATTATTCAGTCTAGGGGATGAAGGAAAGATAAGGAGGAGGTTTGGAAATAAGTTCAGTGTGGAATTTGACCTTCTTACAGGATCCAGGATAAGAAATGGCTGGTAGACAGTTGTGTCTAGGTTTGAGTCATCAGTAAATTGGTGGTTTTTTGAAACATTAGGGGGATACGGTACCCATATGGGTAAGGTGTGTAATGGGCAGAGAATTCTTTGAGGAGTGCTGTGAGGTGCTGGATGGGTGGTTTTGAAAGCTTTTGATGCTGAGACTAAGCATCTGTGAGAGCCCTCCTTCTCTGTTTTCCTCCAGTGTTGTTACCTCCTCTTGGTCATCTTGTGCTCTCTTCCATCATCCATCATGTGGTGAGTGTAATGTCAAGCCTTCCCTTTGAGGACCTCAGATGTGAATCATTCCTGACTGCTTGCATGATTGAGAGACAGCAGCTTTTACTGCTGCTTTCTGGCTTTTAATGAACATTCAGACACAAGTGTAGTAGATGTCCTAAGTGTAACTATGTGGAGTGTTTGTTGGGTTGAGGGAGTCGGAAGAGGATGGGATCAGAGGCCAAGAATCTTTTCAATTAATGGTCCCATCTTTGGCATTGGGGTAATTTGCAAAAGGATTCCATATGAAATCACTTCCCAGCAATGGAGAGGGATCCAGGAAATCATATTTGAGAGAGGATTGTCAAAAACCAGAGCCCAGATCTCTGCAGACCAGATAGTTAAGTTGCCCAGTAAGCACAGCCTGCCTGATAGCTAGGGGACCAGAGAGAAACTCCCAGGACTGTACTACACTCAAGGCCAGATGGAAGGAGTAGGAGGCCTTCTGGTTCTTAGTGATGGCTTTAGGACCTTCGTTCCGGGTTGATCAGCTCCACTTTTAGGGAAGTAGATGGGGCCTGTGTGTAATTTAGTCAGGCTTTTAAAACACTCTTTCTAGAAGCCACTTTAGAGATCTTTCTGTTCCTATCCAGTCCTTCCTTCTCCAGTCTCCACCCTTTTTTTCTTGACAGAACGAAGTGTGGTGCCTTATTTAGAACTAACACTGAAATAAATATTTTTGTTCTTTCTACTACCAGAGGTGGTCGCAACTCCAACACAGAATATACTAAGCTTTTATTATTTTCAAGCCTCCTTCTTACTTCACCTTTTAATTGATGTACACAGGCTCACATGTTGTAGAATTTAGGTTGAATTGTGTAGTGTTTCTGATAAGCTCAATTTCTGCTTCTGGATTCATACTGCCCTGAAAGATAAAAAAGTTCCTCCTTGAATAATGTTTTACATTTTGTGTTCCAAAGGACATTTACTAAAATCCCGGGAGAGAGAAGCATTAGGTTGGTATATCCTGCTCTCTTTGTCAGGACTCCTTCCAGCCAGCCTGTGCTCCTGAGTTCTGAGGCACTTGGGCTCTGGGACATGGTCATTTCTGCTTATATAACAGAGGATGGAGTTTGCGTTTGTTGTGCCAAACAGTGTGTGGTTACCAGAGCCACCCATTATGCCTAAAGTCATTCCCTTTCTGAACTAGAAAGACTTGAAACCTCACCTTGGGTAATGTGAAGATACTTAGGCCTTCCCTGTTATATTCATATCTGGTCATATTCTAGCCAGATGTCCTGGAGTCCAGATATGCCCCTGATGAAGGCTGACAGCAGGACGAGCTGCTAGAGGCAGTAAGGTCTGGCTGTCTCCCAGGCCCTCCGCCCACATTTCATTGCGTGCTCTCATCTGGCTGCTGTTCACATAGTTTCCCGCCCAAATCCTCCATTGGCTGATGATGCCCCATAGGAGCCAGTGGGTGGAAAAGGCAAGCTGATTATTGCAGAAACCCTGGGAAAACATTGTGGGGTTTTTTTGTTTTTTTTTTTGTTTTGTTTTGTTGTTGTTGTTTTTTTTTTTGCCTATCAGAGTGCTTCCCCCCCCCCTCTGGTGGGTTCCTGGAATCTCAGGAAGACCACTTGCATGACAGCTAGATGTTCTCTGCTGCATGGGAGAGCTCATTATGTTTCTGGGACCATTGGTCCAGGCTAATTCGGTCTTTTCTGGTGTGGAAGGATTTTTAATTGGCAGTAGGCATTTGAGAAGGTTATCTACACTGGTTTTAAAAGTTACATATTATAGAGAGGCTGACATTTTAAATGGGACTTTACTGGAGTTGGGGAGGTTTTTCATGTCCGTGTCCGTCAGGTGCTGTCCTTCACTCTGACTCTGGCTCCAGGTATTGCTCGGCATTGGGCCTTAGGAAGTGTTAGCGGGTTTCTGAAATCATCTCTCATGCCATTTGCAGACCACAGACCAAGGAGGGATACGTGAATTTCAAGTACTCCCTTGAGCACTTCCTTTGGGTAATGATTTCCATGATGTAAGTCTAGGCACCCTTCATTTGAGTCTCTTTTCTCAGTCCCAGTTGCTCAGCACTCAGAAGGACCACAAGAGCTAGACAGAACTCAGTGGGCTGCACTCTGTAACTGTGTCTTTAATGCCCTACCACCCTCACCAAGTCAGAGATTAAATTAGAAAGCTGTTACATATGCACTAGGCTTACTTATTAGCTTTCTGAACACATACCCCATTCAGAGGGAAGCCGAACACTCCTCTTTACACAGCGCCCTTACTGAGAGTCTGGCCTCTTCCTGTAGGGCCAGGAGCCTTGAGACGGCTGTCCTACCTCCAGGGGCTTTCTGGAAGCCTTCCTGTTGCTCCTCATTTCTGAGAGCAGCTGAGGGTGTGTCGATGTTTCCTTGGCTTATTCAGGCCCTTCTTGAGCCCTTGCTACCTGAGGTCTTACCGTGAAGCACAGCAGCCCACTCCCCTACTGGAAAAAATAACCACAAAACCCCATAGCAAAACATTAGGAAACAGAGTTACAGTGTGCTTTTTGGTCCTGTTTCCTGAAAACAGGTCGAATCTGTATGTTCTGAATCTGTATGTACTCTGCCCTCCCCTTCCCGCTCCCACAGCCACAGAAAGTAGAAAAATGGAAAATATGTGAGGTTTTTATAACAAATCAGAGAAAGCAGATTTGTAGCAGCCCAAAGCCAAGGGAGTGCCACCTTTCTCTGGAGCCAGTCCAGAGCAAAGGGAGCTGAACAGCTCCTCCATCACCAGTGCCTTCAGACTGTTTATGGAAATGGAATAATCAGCACTGGGGGATGGGAGGGGAGTCGAGAAATTCTCTGCTCTCAGCGGCTAGCGGAAACATGAAGTACCTATAATAGCAACTGCGGTGGCTCTGTCTGTCTGAAAGCTTTCCGAAGGGAATGCTCGTAAATCTTTTCTGTGGAAAATTATGTTTACTAGTGAGGGGCTTGATGGTTGGTGGTGGGCAAAGGTGTGGGGAGATGGCCCTGCGTGGCAGGTGCTCTGAATGCCAGGGCTGCTGGCCCCCGGCCTCTCAGCAGTGGCTGCTGAGGGGGAGCTTGGCAGCCTCCTCTCTAGCACAGCGGGGAAGGAGTATTTTTAGGTTTGTTATCATGTTACCAGCTTGGGACAGAGTATTTTCTGTGTCTTTGCATCGATTAATCTGTTCACTGACTGGGGTGGGCCGCGACTTGAATGGCCCTCGTCTCTGCGGCCCACCCCCTGCCCCCCTTACCATGACCTGTCTTTAGTCTTCACATTCCTGAGCTGGAGATAGCAGCCTGCAGGGAGCCTCTGCCGAGGGCTGAGACTCTTCCCTACAGTGCAGCCATACTGCCTTCGGAGGAAAGATGACGTGTACCCAGGGGGAACAGAGAGGCATGGATGAGGACCGTGGTGTGGTCTGACTGTCCAGTTATGTGGTGAAGGGTCTTCAGAACAGAGCATTCTGCCTTTATCCTGGAATCCTAGAATGTCAGAGCCGGGAGAAGTAGAACTCCCTGAGCCCAGGCCTCCTTGACATTGTGCGTCCTGACGCTCAGAACAGGGACCTGAGAGGTCCATCAAACAGCACGTTCTTCTGCAGAGAGGGTGACTCTGAAACAACTGGAGATGCTAGGAATATCAAAGATGTAACTTTAACTTAGGGCAGAGAACGTGGTTCAGAGGAAGGAGGCCACAGCCAGGTGACAGAATTGAAACATGCGGTGGGACTGGGGGTAACAGCAGCCAAGCTGACTCCCAGCCACGCCCGCTTAGGATTCTAAGTGGATCTTAATACCATGAGTCAGGTGTCCCAGCTGGGGGAAAGAAAGGAGCATTCTGGAACATCAGGACATCACTGACCTGACCTCTTGTGCCAGCACTGTTAACGTTTTCTTTTCCATTTCTAGACCTCAAAAAAGCCTAAGACGGCAGAAGCGGACACCTCCAGTGAGCTGGCTAAGAAAAGCAAAGAAGTATTCAGAAAAGAGGTAAGGTTTGGTGGGTGTGGGCCCTAAGCTCCACAGGCTTAAGCCTGAGTCCTTTCCTTTCTTGTCCTGAGTGTTAGGCTGCCCTGCATTTGGGTCTTCCCTTGCTTTTGTGGTGTGACTGTATGGTCGCCACGTGAGGGGGGCCCACCAAAACGGTCCTTTGTAGGTGGGTGGTAAGCACTTTCATATCCATTGTCATTTCATCCCTGTAGCTGCTCCTGAGGTAGGCAAGACAGGAACTGTCATCTTATGCAGGTGGAGGACCTCTTAAGGTTCAGAGAAGGTAAGTTCTAGACAGAAGACCTGAACTCCAGCCCTCTGGCTCAAAGTCTAGTTCTGTTCCTGCAGCCTTTCATTTGGTGGCTGCCTTATCCTCAGGGGATTGGGAGAAAGCAGCTTGTCTTCATGCTACTGGCAGTGTGTGTCTCCAGCTGTCAGGACACCAGCCTTGTCTGTCTCAGGGCATCTAGATTCTGAACCCCAGTCTTGATTCACTAACTGTTGGAGGAAACAGACCTGTGAATAAGGAATGGCAGCTGTGTGCCGAGCTTGCCGTCTGGGGGCTGGAGGCCACTGTTCGGGGCGTCAGGAAGGGCTGTTGAGTCGGGCTTAGGAAGGGACCAGGTAGATCGGAAGGGATGGAACTTCAGGCAGTAGAACGTGCAGTAGCAAAAGAAATCATCTTCCCTTCGAGGGAATTGTAAGTAGTCCACAGGCCGTAGCGCAGGGCATGTGCAGGGTGTAGGGAGATGAGGCCAGCCAGTGCGGCTGCTTTATCCAAGGCCTGTGTGTCGGGCAGTTATGGGGCACCCGTGCAGGGCTGGAAGCCAGGAAGAAGGGATTCCCTGACTATCTGGGGAAGTGGACTGAAGTGAGAGAGTATGGGGGCCAGAAGACCATAGAAAAACTGAGTAAAAGCCCTTCCCAAAGCTAGAATTGAGTCTGTGGTTGTCCCCTGTGAACTTACTGACGTTTCGGCTCAGCCGTCCAGCAGCGGCTAGCTCAGTGCCAGCCTTGTGCTGACAGCCTTGTCCTTTGACCTTGTCCTTCGAACGTCGGCTGCATTCTGGAGTTCCAGGGATGGGGAGACCCTGTTCATGGTGCTCCCTGACAAAGTGGCGATCGCTGACCTCTTTGCTTCCTCTGTACTCTGGGATCTTAGCACCGCAGGTGCTTTGAGAGGTCCTGTGCGGGGGTCTCTTCCGAGAGCCACTGGTAGGCTAGACACTATAGAGACAGCTCAGGAGGACTCTGGACACTGTGTATGGGAAAGGGTCCTGCCCCGGGCTTCTCGCACCAGCTAGCTCACCAGGCCTAACGTACTTCCTGTTGCTGTAGTGGGGGTCCGGTGACGTGTAACAGCAGATCTAAGTGACCTTCTGCAACAAAATGCCTGTGTTCGTGGCATGGCTGAGCCTGCTGGTAGCACCGAATGTTTTCTCTGCTCCACCTCCAAGGCCGTAGTCTCTCCTCATGCCAAGGATGGGAGATTTGTTAGTGGAGACCCGAGGCTGCCATGAGATTCAGCGGTGCGGTCCCTTGCCCGGGTCTGCTCTTTTTGCTCTAAGTCCGGCTTGCTCGTCTATCCAAGGCAGCTCTGTCTCTCTTGGGGCTGACCTAGGATCCTTTTATCTTCTACCCCACTGGCCTCATAGCATTCTTCTATCCAAAACCAGCCAACCTGAGTGGTGGAATGGGAAGGATTGGCTGTCTCATTGTGTCCTCAGCATAACCCCTTGCCCTCTCCGGACTTGTGAGCAGCGTGTGCTCTTTCTCCTGCCTACAGATGTCACAGTTCATCGTCCAGTGCCTGAACCCTTACCGGAAACCCGACTGCAAAGTGGGAAGGATCACCACAACTGAAGACTTCAAACACCTTGCTCGCAAGGTATCCCCTCTGCCCAGATGATGTTCTGGGCAAACCGTGTACCCTTCATCATAGAAAATGGGTTTTCCTTGCCAGAGGCCGGGGCTGGGGGCCCAGGGAGAGGGAGGGAAGGTTAGGGAAGGGAGGGCACCCTGCTGGAGGGTAGGCCTGGTGGGCTTCTCACAGACTTGCCGAGCTTAGCCTCCCCTTTCTGCTGACCCCAGCCCCAGCTGGCCCCAGCCTGTCTCTTTACTCAACCCCAGTCTTGGTGAGAAGGGCCCCATGGCACCGGGCTGGCCTTATCCCTTGATATCCTTTCCACTCTGGTCTCTCTTCCTGTGTCCTGGACAGCTGACCCACGGCGTGATGAACAAGGAGCTGAAGTACTGTAAGAACCCTGAGGACCTGGAGTGCAATGAGAACGTGAAACACAAAACCAAGGAGTACATTAAGAAGTACATGCAGAAGTTTGGGGCTGTTTACAAACCCAAAGAGGACACTGAATTAGAGTGACTTGTGGGGCCAGGGTGGGAGGACAGGTGAGCAGGTGGGACAGACTGGACAGAAGTAACCCTGCGGGCCCGCTGCCCCCCCCCCCCCCGTCAGGGCTGTGCTACTGGTGACACGTCGCCCTGGGGAATTCAGACCTGCAGATTTCAGCTGAAAGCCACGAAAACGAGCCCCCTCTACAACAAGCGATCCCTGGTCATGAGCTGTTGGGGTGTGGTTGGAGGCCCATCAGAGGCAAGGGCTTAAGGAAGGACCCCGCTAAGATCCTGGCCAGGCCTAGCCCCACTCCCAAACCTGGGTCTCCTCCTTGGCGGTGCTGTCAGCGCACAGACCCATGCGCATCCCCACCCACGACCCCTCACCCTGACGATCTGTATAATATTTTAATGTATATGTGAATATATTGAAAATAATTTGTTTTTTCCTGGTTTCGTTTGTTTTTCATTTTGCTTTTAGCCTCTACATGCTAGATCACAGGAAGACTTTGTAAGGACGGTTTTAAGTTCTCCTGCAAGGTTTAATTTGTTATCATGTAAATATTCCAAAGCAGGCTGCCTTGTGGGTTCGGCCAGCCTTGTGCTATGTTGATAAGATTGATTTACTGCTTAAAATCACTTTACTTTATCCAATTTTTACTGAACTTTTTATGTAAAAAATAAAATCAATTAAAGAACTTGGCATGTGTGTTCCCTAAAAGCTAGTCAGGCATATTTGTAAATAGTGGTGTCACTGGAGAGAGAGAGGAGACATGGTGGCCGTAGTTGTTTGAAGCTCAGAGTTAATCCTTGAGCTTGGAGTTCTCCACAGGTCTCGCTGTGACTGACACTTGTGGCCTTGGGATCTTATGCGTGTGTTCAGGGTGGAGTCAGCTTGTGCTACCTGTATTCCAGAGCAAAAGAAGTGGACCCGAGGGCCTCATTGGCTCTGGCTTCTTCACTTTGGTTCATAGGTCAGGCAGGAGATGGGCACGAGTCTTCCCCTTTATGCCTCCTAGCTGAGGAGAGCTGCATTGACCCTCTTCCCTCCAGAACTTCAGTTCCCCAAGCTCACTGGAATGCTCCTTTGGTGGACAGATTCCCTGCCCTCCCCCACCAGGCACCCTGACACTGGGGTTGGGCACTAGAGGGAGGACCCGTGTAAGGGGGTATAGTGCCCAGGCTGTGATTAAAAAGTGGACACCCGGAGGAGGTGGGGTTCAGTGTCGTCCCCCGCCCCCTCCCCGCCCTCCACTTGAATGGGCCAGTTGCCTGGGCTGCAGGACTGCAGGCTGCAGGCTGGTCTGGAGCCATCTTCGCAAAGATGGGTCCCATCTCTTCCTCTCCAGGGCTGTTTTGCTCCCTGCAGCCACGCCCTTGGGGAAGGGGCTGTGGCCCGCTGAGTCCTGGGCAGGGTGGAGGGCCGTCGGCACTCCCTGCCGGGTGCTGTGCTTGGCACTTGGAGCTCGGGTTGTGCTCACTTGATCCTTACAACCCTGGGGACGGGAGCTGGCACTGTTTGGAGGAGATTCAGGCTCAGAGAGGCTCAGGAACTCCTATCCTCGTTGCTAAAAGAGGAGAAAAACACCTATTTTAAAGTCCTGCTCATTAGGCGTGCTATTTAATAATGTAGCCGAAGTGTTTTCCCAGGCTGCTGCGGCCTTCTCAAAACTATTTAAAGCACATTATCTCAAGTGGGTGGACTCTAATTCAACCCTCTTAACATTCGAGAGCTATTACAGAGAATATCTCCGTTAATGTGCACATGAAAAGGGAGTGGCTCCCTTTTGGGTGGGTTTGTGGTGCAGGGGTGCGGCTCTGGCTGTGCTGCGGCTCTCAACCAAGTCAAACTCATGGTTTGACCCGAGGCTCCAGGTTTCAGATGTTCCAAGGACATTTAGGTGGCCTTCCATTAAAGGGGAGTGACCAGGGAGTTGCAGAGTTTCAGACAGGACACTTTGGAGAGGGATTGTGTTACCTTAGCTCCCTATGGAGTTTTTTCGGAAACGTTCCCCATCCCACAACATCCCTTGACACCTCGAGACTCTGCTCCCCCTTAGTTGTGACGAGGGTTGCCTGCCGACGGAGAAGCTGTCGGGTGCCACTCCGCACCAGCTTGCACATCCAGGGCCGGTCCGGTCCTCAGGAGCCCTGGGACTGACTCCCAGCCCCCCGAGGTGTGAGCTCTCCTCGGGGGGACCGGTCTGATTTCATCCAACTGAACGCCGAGCCCCTCCTGCTTTCCCTTCTGGGTTTCCTGGGTTTTTGCCCAACGGTCATCTTCACCTGCCCTTCCTTAAGGACGAGATTTCCAGGGTTAAGCAGTCCTGGCGAAGGGTTTCTGAGGAGCAGCAGTCTGATGCTGGGCACTCACAGAGCAGCCGCTCCCCGTCACGGCTCAGCAGAACAGGATGAAGCCCAGGCCTCCCCGGACCCCCACTGAACCCCACGACTCCCGAGCTCGGGTAGCTGTGTTGCTTCAGTGCTCTGACCCTCGTGGATGCCAGAACGGTGGCCGCTGTTCCTAGGCAGGGGCCCATCTGCTGCAGCACCCCTTCTGAAGGCGGTAACCGACCTGCCTGCTTCTTCCGGGTGGGCAGACACGTGGGGTGCAGGCCCCTCGGGCGGGGGCTTTGACCTGCAGGCCCTCGGCTTGTGTGAAAATCACAGAAGCAGCTATGGAATCATGTTTGGAACTTGCGTGAGTCTTCTAAGAGGAGAGTCTTTCTCCCTTTTTTCTCATCTAGAGGTGACCTGCGGCCCAGGGCGTCTGCCTCCAGCCTCCCCTTGGCCAGTCACAGCAGAAGTCACAAAAATGGTCTCCAGCCCAAGGCCTCTTGGTACCAATCTGAGAACGTGAGGGGTTGGGGGGTGGGGGGGCTCCTGAACACGCCATCCCAGTTACTGTTCTCCAGCGAGGGAAGCTGAAGTTCAGAAAGCTAAACCAGCTCGCTCCCGCGCGCAGCCAGGGCACGGCAGGTGCAGGACGTGAACGCCAGCCGGTGCCTCCGGAGCGAGCACGTCTTCTACAGGGACACACTGCCACTCACGCGCTCCTCCCACATCCCAGGGACCCTCTTCTTTTTCTGGGCCTCCGCCTCACAGCCACCAACTGTCCCACAGGCCCAAGGAGTCAGAGGTGGCACAGTAGTCCAAAGTTGCCTTTAATAGGAAATACAAAAGTAGAAAAACCAGCTGAGACTAAATAAGGGGAGATGGAGTGGGGAGGATGAGGGCAGGGCCACTCCTCCCTGCCAAGTCCCCCCATGTCCTGGTCCCTGTCCTGGAGGAAGGTAGGACAAGGGGAGGTGAGTGGTGGCCGGGTCTTCTCTGTTCCCTCCTACCCGAGCAGGCTGAGGCCATCAAAGCCAGGAAGCTCGAGGAAGGAAAAGCATATGTGGAATTGGGGGGGGAAGCACCAAAGCAGGTTCCCTGAGAGGCCAGGCTGTGGTGGGATCACTCACACCACAGAGCAGCCCTCAGCTGGGGAGCTCAGAAGCCGGACCACATCTTCACGGCCCATGGCAGCCAGGGCGTCCTCCAGCACCCTGAGGGTGGCCCCGCTGCCTTCTTTGACGGCCCAGTCCCTCAGTAGGGTGTGGACTGGCACCTGGCCCTGGGCCATGATCTCCACAGCATCAGCGTGGTAGCCCAGGCGGCCGGCCAGGCCCTGCCAGCCCTTGTCAGGTTCACCGGACACTTCCAAGAGCCGTTCCACTTCCTCTTGCTGCTGCCGAGGGAGATGAAGGTAGAGCCGGCAGCCAAGTTCAGGATGTGGCCCTGGGGTGGGAGACATGAGGGTCAGCTGGGCTGGGCGGTATGGCTGAGAGGGTCTGAAAGTCTGTAGTTTGGGGAAGGAGGCTCACCCTGGCTCCCGGGCAGCTGGGGATTGTCCAGGAAGACAACGCTGTCCCCATGCCTCTGGTCCCTGTCGAGGGCCCCCAGCTCTGCAGTCCGAGCTTTGGCCAGCTGCTGTCTTTGTTTATGTGAGCGCCAGCTGTAGGGAGCAGGGGGGACCCGCCAACCTGTTCCAGCCTTCACTGAGACAGAGAGGGAGCTGGCCGGGAGTCCAGATGGGGAAGGGTGCGCCACATGGCAGTGCCCGCAGTACCTACCACTTGAAGGCCACGTAGGCGAGCAGACCAAGGACCACCGTGGCCAGGAGGGCACAGTAGACGGGGATAATGCTGCCTGAGGCCCCTGGAGGCTCAGGGGGGAATGGGGAGGAGGTATTGGGGGCCAGAGCTCCCCCTACCCATACCCCTTCCCTGTCCCTGTCCTGCACCCTCTGGGTCTTATCTGTAGAGAAAAGGACAAACAGGATCAAGAGCACGAAAACAAGGCCAGGGCCCCAAGTAGCGGTCACTTAGACTTTGCTGCCAGAAAGGTTTGAACCAAGAGTCCCCACTTCACAGAATCAAAAATTCGTATCACAGCATCAAGATTGGCTCATTATCCCACCCTCGTCTCCAACAGCCTCCTCTCTGCTCACCACTGTTAGACACCTAGCCCTTCCCGGGGGGTTCTCCTCCCAGGTGTCCAGACATCTGCTCTTGCTGTTCAACCTCCAACTGGCAGGTATCGCCTACTCTGGGAAGGCTTCCTTGATCTCTCCCAGTCTCTCCCTTTTCTGGCTCCTGCTGTGCCTCCTCTGTCTATGGCAGCATCACAGTGTGTGTCCTGTCTCTCCCACCATGTTTGGACCGTGAGAGCAAACTGATACATGTTGGTCCCCACGGGGGCTTCTGCACAGGAGACCTTGTAAAGTTTTGCAAAATAAAGCTGAGCTAGAAGGCAAAAGAATGCTGCTGCTTCCTTCTGCCTGGAAACCAGTTATCTCCACGATCCAGAGCAGGCAGGGCCTAGGGTACAGAGACTCTAAAGCTTGTGACTGGACTTGTGTGGGACCTAGCCACCTACCCAGTGCCCCAAATCTGGATCAAAAGACACTTACCCACATGGATCATGCCTTCCCTGTGGCTGGAGTTGTGAAGCATGGCTCTGCCGGCCAGCAGGGCTCCCAGGGACTGCATCTCCTGGAGAAGGGGTCGGAGTGTCATGCCAACACTCAGGCAAGGGAGCTGGGAGATGTCTTCTCTGAGTCCAAAATCCGCTATGTGTAGTGAGATGGGGGAAATTCTTCAGGCCAGATGCAGGGAGTCCCTTGGTGTTGGTGTCGTCTGTCTCCCTCTCCTGGCTCACTCCATCCTGATTGACTCTAGGGCTGGTTACCCACCCCGCCTCCCCAACCTCCCCATTCACCAACCTGGACCAGTTCCCTCCTCTGTCAGATGGGGTGGGGTAGACAGAGCTAGTCCCCACAGGCCAAAGCTGGAGGAGCCAGGGTGCAGCTCAGGATGGAGGAGAGCAGCTTGGAAACCTTAGCAAACCCCTGGTCTGAGTCCAGGGATGACGCGGGAAGACCACAGAGACTCTCATCCCCACCTCAATCAGAGCCAGGCTGGAGACTTGTTGGCAGGGTTGGGGGGGGGCTCCCCCAGACTTCACAGCATGAGCCAGCGGAACCCAAGTCTCCAAGGCAGGGCTTCCTGTGACTATGGCCCCACTCCTGCCTCCAGAGTCAGGATCCAGCCCTCACCTCCTGCCCAGAAACTGGACAGGAAGTTTCCTTGGTGGCCCAGAGGCTCCCTGGTCCCTTCTCACCTGGGAATTCAGATGGCCTGGAAGCAAGAAATCT